ATAGTTTCCGAATAATTATGTTTGCTAAGCTGGAAACGAATAAAACAAGCTGCTAGTCTTCAATTATGAGTATTTCAGAGAAACAAATGCTGACGAGCACGAGGATTTCCAAATAATTAGATAGCCAAGTGGTATAAGAAACATAGGCTTTTCCTCGACCTCCAACTAGTGGCCCTCTAAAGTAGGCGACTTCTTACACTCAACCGGTTCGGTCTGGTTCCTCACATGATCTGCGATTTTCAGCAGGAGCAGCTCGCACATCTCGGTGGGAAACTAATGGGATAGCCAAACATAGTTCCGTACCACAGTTATGTGAGCTGCGTAAAACGCAATTGCACTTTCCGATGCGCCACACCCCCAACAGCCAACGGCCCATCAAAATGGGTTAAGTATTTACACAAACAAGTTGGCGCGAAATTAGCGCCACAATTATAATTGAGCGGCATAGACAGGTACGGTCGAACTCCAATATTTAATTGCTGTTTATCGCGGCCATAAAGCGATTTGATAACGCTCTCTATCAGAACGCCATCTCTTTCGCGCACCGATCGGCTCTCTCTTTCCTTCCCACTCCGTATTGGAAAGTTAGCGCCGAAGTGATGAATTTCACAAGAACCCAGACCGCCGTGTTTTCTCTCGCTTGTACTGTCTCTCTCTTTATATACTGTTCCAAAAAAAGTTGCATGTAAATTTAATTTTTCTGTTAAATTCATCTTTATATGTATTTGAATAAGGGAGTAATCTAATAAAACGTTGAGTTTATGAACCCAAGATATTATTTGTACAACTATTCTGCATATGCACATTTATATTTCCTTGGCTGTGCAGCTACGACCTCTGACCAAGTGATTTCTTGCAGTGCACAATTCCGCCACCACGAAGCTGATTAGATTGGCTGCGGGGGATCTGCGAACGAGATTCTGGTGAAGGGTCAAGTGCACCTGGCGGTTCGCCCGTCGACGAGCTCGAGCACGTTTCGGATTGATTAGAGCTACGTTTGCGGTTGCGCCACATACCCGGCCAACTTGGGGTCCCATGTCCTCCGCCCCCATCCCACCTGCTTACGTAAGTAGTGCGGCAATCCGCGCACAGCGTGGCTCCAGTACCGTTAGTGGGCCAGAGCACCCAACCACCCTTAGGAGCACCACCCACCGCCCACCTCCCACCTCCAACCGCTCAGCGGACTGCGGACAGCTGCTCGAGTTGCGTCAAAGTCGTAAAACTTTCTCACGTAAGTCAAAACCCAGAGTCCCGCTATCTGGTCAGCCGAATCTGGGCTTATCCTTTGTTGCAACTGCAGCTCAGCCCCCGAACGGCGAAATGCTCACATATACAGAGTCGCAGATTATAAATACAAGTTTATGGCGGCGTAAACAATGATTCTTAACGATCCCCAGCGGGCACAATGCAGTTATCGCATGATCTCCGCTCGGAAACATCCAAGCATCCGCGCCAAGATCAAGGAGCCCCCGCAACGAGCGGATTGGATTGGCTTAGATTGGGCTCTATAATTATGCCCGTGTTTGTCAGTGCCTTGGTGACGTCAATCCGGGGAAATCACGGAAACTCTTCTTTCGCGTGGCGATAGCGGTGAAAACGTGGCGGACGGACCCACTGGCCAAATGGGAGCGTGTGGCATGCCCCACGCGTGGGTGCTGCGATAAAGCTCTGCTTTCGAGGGAGGCAGTGCAAACAAACATGTTTTTAATGTTAAATCTGATTAGGAACACACTTTCCTAAGTGACTCAAATGCTTGTTTTTCAATCCGAGCGAAGCTGATTGAAGTGAGTTAGCTAAACTCAATCTTTCCAGTGGTAATGTGCTGCTAAAGATACATTTCTTTGGAAAAGAGCGGTAATATAGAATATGTGGTCATATATTATTATATATTGTTGTTATGGGATCCGAAACTTTATCGCCAAACGTGATAAACGCACGCGTGCGACAATCATGTCACGTTTTCGCTTTCATAAGCCTTTACTAAGTGGCTGCCCAGAATCTGCGGCCTAGCAACAAACTTTAGTGTCCCCCAGTATCGGATAAATGAGTAGTAGTAGGCGACAGAGGAAACAATAAAAAACTTGAACATATGGAGCACCGGGAATATCAATCGGTACTCCCTCCAATGCATTGGCCGCGGTTTCAGGAAGGGAAAGTGCCTAAAAACAAGTGATTATTAAATATGGCCATTTACCATGCCCATTATCTTATCGGTTACGTATTGAAAACAACCTGTGATGTGGCGCTGAAAGAAACCAAGGTCCGCGGAGGAGCACCACCCGCTGATGAGCAAGACCCACTTTCTCGGCCACAAGAGCGCCCTATCTTCCATTGGACTTATCGCTAATTGGAGGTTCTAGCCGGTATTTGCAGGCTTTCAGCCATATAACTGCTTTTGGCAGTTGGATCGGCTGACAGGCCGTCGGCTTTGGAACGCAAGTGTTTCCTTGCCATTATCATTTGCGGCGCACTAGCGGCGGGCCAAAAATAACCCGGTATGCTATAAATAACCCGTCGCCTGCTGAAATTGCCAGCGACAATAACAACAACATGCACTCGTACTCGTATTCTGCATAAATATCAAGGCAAATAGCTGTTGGAAAATTTGTATCAGCAGTTCTGTTTGCTTATCTGGGCTTTCATATTGTCGTTATCAGTGCTTCCAAAGAAAACACAGTTTAGGCGGCAGAGACAGCGACTTCCAGCCGTTGTTTGCTTGCCACTTGATGACTTGATGGGGGAACTACCGGACTGACATTTCCTTTTATGGCCAAGGAGACGGCTGAAATGGTGGTGCTGATAGCGTACTTATGGTAAGGTCGTTAAGTACGAATTTCACGGATTTGTGGCGAAATTGGGCGCTGAGCCGATTGATTGGGAACCTGTTCACGCTGTGATCAGGCGGACTTGGAAGTGGTTAATGCAAGGAACATATATTATATATAAATTAATACATTCAATTAAAATCAATTTCCACAATATCTTGGAAACCTTTTACAGAAGTTAGACTATTAATAAAATCAAGGGCTGAAGCATGAAGCTTTTGATCTGTACATATGGGAATATGTGTGACTACTTTTAATACTAATTGTTACATAGTATTATATTGCAATGTAATCTAACAACTAAAAATGTAATATAGGTAAGCATGCAATTATTCACATAAGAATGCCTGCTTGTCCTAATTTAAAAGGTATTTTCAAACAAAATTGCCCAGCTTACGACCTAAACAAAGACGGGTAAAAATCCCCCAATGCATTTAGAATGATTCCCGGAACTGCCCATCATGATCCACCGAGCTAATCCAGATACATATGCCTATAAGCCGGCAGGAATCCCCCGGCATTGTGTTTATTTGCTCTAGCAATTGATAGAGTCGTTTGGCTACAAATTCTTGGGCATTATTACTTGAGATATTTCCCGCTTGGGGGAATTCGATTCGAAAGGCGTTTTGGTCAATCACTTCCCAGTACATTGTTCAATTGTGGGCAGCCGCCTGCGAAAAGTAAACACAAGCCCCAATTTGCTTAGCGGTTTCTATAAATACTCGCACGCAGACGAATTTCGCACATAGCGGGCCATAAACTGCGCACTTGGCCAGGTTCGATTTCGTTGGTCATGAAACTGGGAAACTGGAATGGCCCAAATCCGCCGAACAAGGCCAAATGGGACTTATCAACGTTCCGGCCGTAACCCCATCGCTTACACTGTCTAGTCGAGACAAAGCCAAAGTTGCATCAGCCATATCAGCTCCCAATGGTTCAATCAGTCGGACTGATCCGATTGGCACTAGATAAGCCCCAAATGGGGGTGGATGGTCCACTCAGAACTCCCCCTCAGACTTTGAACCGCCAGCAAGTAATCATGTGACCGATTCAGTAGCGGAACCAGCCACGTTCCGCCCCCAAGTGTGATTCATATGGTGATGGTGATGTGAGCCGCATCTTCGCACAGAACAAATCTTCTGTAAGTGTCTTATCAAGTGCCTCCACATCCGCAGCCGCCACCAGCGAGGTGCCAGATATCAGATGCTATATATGGCCATGGAACACCTTCGGTACCACGTTAGTCACTTTCGCGCGCGACGCGCCCATTACTCATACGCCACGTAATCGCTGGAGAAATCTAATCAGGTGGGCTGGAAAGGGTGGTGGGTCTGCGAACGGTAATTTCATCAATTCCAGCGGCGATTAACGGGCGGCTGGGCTCGACTTGCGATAGGTCAGTAAGGACGCTAAGTGGATGGCGTTCTGAATCGATTTGAGGAGCATTTTCATAAGCCGCTACGCGAACCGCAAGGCTATGTCGGATTTATGGAGATTTGTGTAACGGGCCTAAAGAGGCGGCGCATACATATGGATCGCTGATCAGGGTCAATAGCGGAGCTCGTATAAAGAGCTAGAAGTGTGACACCATTCGCGGGCTGCAGTTACCAAATTTGTTATGCAGATCGGGGCGCTGTCGGCCTTATTTTGAATTATAGCTACACTTTCTAGGTGCTGAAATGCAAATAACGCCTGCTATTTGCAGCATTGAAAATTCTAATTCGAGGCTTACCTTTACCTAAATATCCCCGGCTTTTAGCTGCCACCGCACTCGAAACTCCCGTATTATCCGCTCCTGCGGAATGCCATCCGCCACGGAGTATCCTCTCGCTGGAGCCATATAACCCAACCATATAACCCCATCCCATGCCATAGAACAGCAACTTGTTATTTATGCGTCAAGTGCTGAGATCTGAATCGCTCAGAAACGAATTCGAGCGGATCAGATAACATCTTCATCTGTGCCAGTTTGCGGGGCATTTTGCATTTTATGCGCATGCTGATCGATCCGACAATCTGGCGACTCGAAATTAGCATGGGAACGTTCTATAACAGTAAAGTCGAGAAAGCAATTTCCTTTGTTCCGCCCCGTTGCCCCACCATTAACCACCAGCACCACCAGCACCACCACCCACCGCCATCCGACGCCCCAGTCAATTGGGCGCTGATTTTGCGTTGTTTCTCAACTGAATGCATTTTGAATCGGCGTCGGCGTGAATCGCCAAGCTATGAATACAGGTGTACGAATATGAGTACCTACGAGTATGAGTGTTATGAGTGTACGTGTTATGATGTGAGCTGTGAGATGGGAGACGTGGGAAGGGGGCAAGTGATCTAACCTAAGGCAATGCAAGTGATTCGAGTTCGTGCTCGGATTCGGATTCGGATTCGGATTGGGATGATTTCGGGCGGAGCAGGGCTTTCCCGCGGGCTTCCTAGTGCTGGCAGTCCGGGGTCCAGGGGTTCCTTAGGTTGGCCAGGCGCAGCTGCTCCAAGGCGATTTCGTGGGCCCGGAAGTGCTCCCGGGTAGCCTTGTCCAGTTCACTGGGGGACGTAGCGGTGTAAGTGACCTGCTGCTTCAGTTCGGAGGCAATGGGAGCGGGCAGAGGCTGCAGCTCCGCTGCCTTGGTGGTGTATTGAACCAGGAAGGGATTGGAGCCCGGCTGGGACAGCAGTAGGGCAGGAGTGCTCACTGGTTCCGTGGCTGGCTGGATGGAGTTGGGCTGGTTGGTTTGGATGCGCAGGAAGAAGCCATTTTGCACCTGCTGCTGCTGGGTCACGATGTTGGGCTGCTGCTGGGGTTGGACCTGGTTGTTGATGATCTTGAACTGCTCCGCCTTGCGCAGGTATTCGGGAGTGTCCTTCTCGGGCACGGCGACGAAGGTGGCCTGCTTTTCCGTCTCCAAGCGCAGGCGATCTTCTTTCTCGATCCTTTGGCGCTCGGCCTGCAGAATGCGGGTTTCCTCCAGCAGACGATCTGCCTCCTGCTGGCGCTCCGAATCGGCTTCCTTCTGCTCCTGCTTGCGCAGTTCCAGCTCCTGCAGACGCTCCCTCTCCCGCTCGCGCTCCTCCAGGCGGATCATGTCCGCAATGTCGGCCACCTTGTCCTCGGCCTGAACCTTGGCTTGATTGAGAATCATCAGGTGCTCCTCACGGGCCAGCTTGACTTCAGGAGTGTCCTGGACGGGTTGCGGTGCCTGGGCAATGGGGCTCTTAAAAATGGCCTGAGGAGCAAACGGAGCAATGGGCGCCGTGGAAATCAGTGGCTGCTGTTGGACGTCGACTGCCTGTCGCAGGATGGCTTCGTTGAACTGCTTCAGATGCTCCTCCCGAGCGCGCTGGACTTCTGGGGTCTCCTGGATAGCTTGGGGAGCTGCTTTTTCTGTGAACGTGAAGGATTGGGGCTGATCGTGCTTAATGGGCGTGGTCTGCAGAGTGGGTTCAGCGGCGGCAGCTGGTTGGCGAAGCAGCGCCTCATTAAACAGCTTGAGGTGCTCCTCGCGAGCCTTCTTCACTTCTGGAGTTTCGTCAATGGGCTGTGGGGTGTGCTGATCTGCGAAGCTGCCGCTTTGGAAGATGCCCTGGGGTTGGCCTGCTGGCTGGGTCTCAAAGGTGCTGGTCGTGCTCTTTATGATCGTCTGAGGCTGGGTAGTGATTGGCTGCTGAATTCCAGGAACGGCCTTAAGGATGATGGCTTCCTGGGCAGGCTGCCGGATGAGCGCCTCATTGAACTGCTTGAGATGTTCCTGGCGGGCCAATTTCACTTCCGCAGTCTCCTCAACGGGATGAGCAGCGTATTGAGTTGTGGTTTTGGTCAGCACGTTCTCCTGGCTGGGAGCAAACTGTTGCTGCAGAGGCTGGCCGAACATTACTGGGATCTCTTCCTTTCTGAACTGGTACCCCGGGGACTGAGCGAGCAGCTGCTGAGCCTGCTCGGCACGCAGAACCTCCAGCCTGGCTTCGTTCCAGATGCGTAGCTGCTCATCCCGGGCCCACTGGACATCCGGGGACAGTCCGGGAACGGCTTCGAAGGCGGCAAACTTGACGATCTGCTCCAGAGGCTCAAACTGAGCCAGCATGCTGGCCGTGGGCTTCAGGCCCTGGGCCTTCAGGCGATCCAGTTCCGTGCGCATGGCCTGATAGCGTTGCTCGCACCAGGCACGGAACAGGGCGGTCTGCTGGCTCTCCTGCCCCTCCAGACTAGGGGAGCGGACTAGGTTAGAGGTGGACAGGTCGCGGATGCCGTTCAGCGGTTCTGGGTAGTTGTAGGGCAGCAGTCGCTCTGCTCCCGTGCCGTCGTAGTAGCGGACGTAGCCCTGGGCCAAGCCACTCACCACCGGGAACTCCCCTCTGGCCGGGGCGTAGGCCACCAGCTGCGGATGCGGCTGCGTGCGGATCACAGAAAAGGCCCTTGCGGAACCCAGGGCCAGCAAGCCGATCAGGAAAACGCGCATCTTGGCGTGCAGGGATTGCCTTCAACTCGTGGACGTGACTCTTCGGTAGCGACTGGTAGGACTTCTGGCACTCGAGTGCTCCAAAACTTCGCTACAACTTCGACTGCCGCTGCTGGAAGACTGATGCGGCTGGGCAGCTCGTCCGAGGGCTTTTATACCCGCATCCCGGCGAGTGGAAAAGAACCGCAAGTGGAAGCGCTTGTGGATGTCCTTGAACGAACGGCCGGCCCTACAGGATGTGTCAATAAATATTCTGTTGGCCCAGGTCGCTGGGATTCTTTATCTCGAACTTAATTGGCCAGGGGTGCTCTAGCCCCTCACCTGGACTGCCCGTTCCCTCCCAGGCAAACAGGACCAGCCTTCACTTGGCTTCCTCCGTTATGCTTCAAGGTCGAGTCTGGCTTTATTTTTAGCCCAGGCTGCTGCGAATTTATGGCCATTGGCCCGGTCCGATCGAGTGAAGGGCCCTTGGAGCTCCATCGCCTAACTATCGATTCATCAATGACACGCTCTGTGCGAGGGACCATTACTTAAATTTGTCAAAGGGCTCAATGGTCGCACTTGGCTGCCTCGATCATCCCCTTCCTGGCTACCAAATTTGGCCAGCGGGAACTCATACATATTTTTGTACAGTCGCCGTCTGAAATGGTTGACTGGTGGCCAGGGGACAGATCGGGCGGCAGAGCCAGTCACTCGATATGGCCCGATATGGAGCCCCTTCTTCAGCTGCTTCCTTCAACCGGTTTGGCGATCCAGCCGCTGCCCAATAAATTCAAGTTAATTCCAGCCGGCGCCGTTATATGGCGATCCAGGGAGCTGGACGGAGGCCCATGTGCATTAAGGTTAAACAATGTCAATCAGGCAAATTATATCACTCCTCGCCCGGCATTCCGTGGAGGAACCTTAAATTTAGAACCAGCTTTTTATTTAAATCAATTCGCAAGCAAATATAACATATATGGGAAAAGAGGCTCGGTTGCATGTAGAACGGAGTTACAAAGAATTGAATACCAGGTGGAGTTTATATACTCGTATGCTCGGCTCTGATCTGAATGGCGCTGAATCATATCGGTGCGGTCAGTTCAAACCACCGGGAGATACGGCAGTTCCGACTGAACAACCTGTTTTGTGTTTTGCGGGGAATCCATTGGGTCTAAACACTTGGTCAGAACTTTGCAACAGTATTCAGACTGAATTCCGGCCATATGAATCTGTAGTTAGTATATGTGATAGATACATCTATACAGACAGAGAATGGAACTGATAATAACATATGGAGCATAGACCATGAAGAGCGACTGTGCTAGAGCTTTCTCATCAGAAGCACAGCGGCTTATCTGAAGATGGCTGATTATTTTAATCGTGCTGGCGATTTCATGATGGAAAGTCATTCATTAATCACATGCTGGCCCAATTACCCGCTCCATTTGCTAGACCTCGCAGCTTGTCAAGATTTTCACAAGCAATTCACCTTGGCAGCTTTGGAGGTTTTCATATTTCGCACTCTGAGGTAAGGAGCGTGGCTCCAAAGTCACACGTAAGACTGCTCAGTGGGCGGCCAACTTTCCCGATCCGAAATATTTCATAACATTCCATTGGCGCTGACAAAGATGCACACATGTGACCGGGAGACATGGTTGCCAGGCCAGGCGGAGCGTCTAGTACACATAGCTTTCTTTCTTGAACTGACCACAGTCACGTTGGCCATGTGACGTAGGTCCGCTGATGAAGCTTCTAGGATGATGATCGTCGGTCGGCGGAGCAGCGGAGCAGCGCCGCCACTTGTCTTTTTCGGGACTGGAGATGGAGAACTCGGCGCGTGCGTCAGGAACAATTGATTCTTTAATGATTTTGTTGTCCGTTCGGCTTGGTATCAATCAATGGAAACGGAGGCACGTCCGCGCTAATTAAAGCAGCTCAAAGTGCTTACGGCCGGCTAGCCACGTTGATGCTTATCTTATCTGCCGCACACAGCACACAGCACCCAGCCATTTGCATACGAATCGGTGGCGGATACGCAATCTGCGAACGCTGCACTCATCAGGTGTTAATTCGCTGTTGATTAGCGCGTCCCGGAGTTCATTAAGATGTCTGAGCATTGTGGCACGCCATCACGCCACTGAAGTACGATACGATTTCATATATTTCCACTTTTTTAGATCAGTTTGAGTGCCAAGAATATGCTCTTCATTTATTTCAGACCGTGTTTTTGTGTTCTAAATATATTCCCCAGTTGAAGTGTAGCCCAGCACGATTCTGGCAACTGGCTCGAATCAGCTGTCGCCGGCACTTTTGTGAGTCAATAAGGCCAGATCCCAAACACAGCTGCTTGGCAACGAAAAGCAAGGCAAGAGTTTACGGCCAACAAACGCACATGAACCGCAGGTCCGCCGAAAATTCCAAACTCCAAATTCCAAAACACCAAGATATTCGGTGCACGCTGGGCAAATCACGTGCGAATTGTGGCGTGGAAATAACCCAAGACGTCATTTCATCTGCGTGCAAATTGAAATTAATTTACCACCGAATTTAATTTACCAATAGCAGTCGAATCGATCGAAACTGAATGAACTACGTTTTCGCTATTCTGATGGCTCCTTTCATCAGCTACCAACGTCAGCGAAAATGTTTTGCTTTGGTGGTTCACAGTCAAGGTGAGGAAACAAAATGCCCGATCAAAATTGCTGAGCAGCTTATGGAGGCCAAATTGGAGCAGAGGCATAGTTACTCCTGGTCATACAATCATACAAGAAAAATACGAAGACAATTAAGAGACGCAGGTCTTGCGTGCTTCCCTAAATCTTCCGAATATTGGAATTCCCCAGCATTCGAGTCAAACTTCTATTTGCAGCAGGAGCTTGAACTCCGTGACATGTTTTTCCTCATGATTTGATGCGGCACTCATTGAGGAGCCAGCTCCAAGGGCGTTTATTTCCAAGCAGCGATATTCTTTTTTTAAACTCTTGTGTCCAATTCGGAGCACCGTCTTTGACGTCACGTGGCCCCACATACGGAATCCGGTTTGCGGGAACTTCCCGCGCAGTCGGTTCCGTTCGAAGGGGCCAATAGATAGTAATTATGCGCGTAATGAAAACATGGAAACATCAATTGGCGCGCCAACGCAATGACCTACACCTGGCACTTGGCCAACGTGCAGCGGCCAGTGGTCCTCCAAGCGGGATAGGCCGGCAGGGGTGGTCAGCAGCATTGCTAATTGAGGTCAGCAGCTGGCAGCTTGGGCGTTCTATCATCTACAGTTAAATTCAAATTGAGTTGTTTAATAGCCGCCAATGAGCGGTAGCTACATGTATGAATAAGCCTGGTCCGACAACTTTGAGCCGGGCTTAGCACTTGAGTTGTTTGCGAACTGTGGCCCGAGCACAATTGGCGCGGTTTCTCAAGTCTGAGCACGTGAAAAATGCGTAGAAATATTTCAAGATTTACTTTTGTTGTGCGTTGCAGTTGTCACGCAAACAACTTCATTTTTCACAAAAAATACCGTGCTCAAGCCGTGCTTTGACCGCCTATTCAATCTTCTGGTTTTGTTTGCTCTTCAAATTAATTGGCCTAATCATGTCTCCGACTTGTGAGTCTCCGTGACTTGTGGGTTTTGAACGAAAGACACTATCCTCGGAAATTGTTAGACAGTCAATGAAATAATGGGCAGCTATAAATACCCGCATGAATTGATCGAATTGTGGCTTGCCATTAAACTGCTCATTTTGTTTCAATTAAATTATTATAATAACTTGGTGTAACTTGGTTCAATAAGCTGCAGTATTCTGTTTACATCTCATGATCTACGATTTCATAAGCGTGTTAATCAGCCTGATGGGATGAAATCGAAAGCCCGGGTAATTACCCAGAGCAGGTGAATCACGTGTCATGAGCCCAGGCTAAAACCGCACTGCCAAAAACTGTAAAACAAAACATCTGCCGGGGTGATAATTGATGTGGGTTGAATATGACACTGTTAGCGGACCCCTCAGAACCCGGTGAACGAACTGGGGATACTCAAAGTAAATATAAGTCAATTCCTGTCGAACTCCACTGACGCACTTTTGGTTGCGAACGCGAAGCGAAGCTGCCAAACTGTGGCCTTCTAAAAACGGTGCCAGTGTCCGTCAAACTGAAGAGCAAAAGGAGTATTGACCATCCAGAGGAAGTGGAACAGTTTCGTTTAAAACATTTATTTTCTGCTTTAGTTTACCATTAGGTTTAAACAATATTCAATCTTTTTAAGGGCAAAGGTGGTGGTGTCGGATTGAGTTTGGGTGGCGGAGCTGGGGAAGATTGGAGCCAACTACTTCAATACTTAATTGTCTACGCGTTCCACTTGGGCCTACGAAAGTGTGGCCTTAATTACACACAGTAGTTGTAATAATAATAATAATAATCCTCATAATACATCGCAATAATCAAATGTTTTATTTGTTCATATGGAAATCAAGACGTACACTATTTGCATATAGAGATATATCGATTTATGGAGACTCACGCGCACACACACACATCTATACAACTTGTAATGCTATTTGTAAATGTTTATAATCATCTCTAATCCTCTAAATAGCGGTTCAGTTTTTACACGACTTTTAACTTGAGGCGACTGCTTTTCTTTGTTTTAGCGCTTGGTTTGTGTTTATAATGTTGATTTCGGGCTTAACAGTAAGAGAGCTTAAAACTATTTAACTTAAACATTGATTTGATTTCGCGTGAATCGGCTTGAGGTTATAAATTCCATGTTGCTGTAGTTCGACCGATTCCTGGATCTACTTAACATTCATAATCGAAGTCTCAAAAGCCAAATAATGTACAAAAGGTAGGATCCTCCAACGACTTCGCCAACTGCGCGAATTACAAAAACTGTACATAATGATATAGGGGTAAACGATCCTTGGTGACTTGGCAACAAACGAAAATTAAAGACACTTGCAGTGCAAATTGGAAATTCGCCAACGAAATACTCTAATGGAGGGCCTTCTTCAACTTCGTCATCTTCGAGTATCAAGTAACAACAACGATATATAAAAATACGGCGATCCCTTGTGTGGGAGCTAACTAAATGGCTAAATTCTTTCGAGCGGAGCCTACAGTTGCAATCGGGCCATCAGCTTT